AAGAGTATGTTTGAGTTGATAATTCCGATGTCAAGAAGTCCGTACTTTTTATTCGATCATATGGGTAGTAAGTCGGTTCTGCAGATGCAATTATTTTTACGTTGTGCTGATTTACAATTCTTTTGAGTATTTTGCCGTCTTGATTATTTGAATGACAACCCCATTGGGTATGTTTTGCGTTTATATCGCTGTGAATAATAATGTTAATGTGGGGTTCGAACATGTTTTCAATGCTTGATGTAGCTATTTTGGCCGAAGGTGGTTTATAAAGAGTATATTAGAATCCGGGGCGTTTATGCGTTGAAGGAGAAATAGGAAGTTTTTGTCGAGTATGTCCGAAGAGACGGAAATACTCTAAAGTTCTTTTGCTGGTACTGTAGTCACTATTTGAAGTCGGTTCACAAATTTAAGTTAAAAGTAAAATCTTTTAGAGACTATACTGATTATCAAAAAGAAAAATAATATTTATTGTAACAAAACAGTGATATGTAATGAATTAGTTTACATTTGTATTGTATATTTTTTAAAGATTTAAAATGTTTGTAACAAATAATGTACTTCAACTTCCGGGTCAATGACCCCCATTTCGATCAGGTTTTTGTCCAGTTTCCCTGATCCATTGAGCAAATGCTGAGATGGCCCCTTGTTTTGCTTCTGGACGCAAATGTAGCTTCACTATGTGCACGTTTTGTTGAACTCTCCTTTTGCTTGTAAGGGTAAGAATAGAGGTAAGGGCGAGTTGCTAATTTGTTAAGAATGCAGAAAAATCATACTTGCAATTCGAGTACCGATGCAAATAAATTTTCTATAACTCAGAAACGAAAATGACTATTTTTCAAATACTGCTAATCTTGCGATTTTTAAAATTTATTCTTATTTATTTATGATTCATTTACTCACCTTTCAACTATTTTTATTTAAAATGACGGGAAGGGATTCTGGAAGTCAAGAAATCGTGCGCAGATTATCTTTTCCCCCTACGTTACATATAGTTTTTACTGAATAAGAACTAAATTTATTTATTAATGTCTATTTCACTATAGTATATGTTCAACGTGCAATGTCTCACAGGCCACAATTAAAACTTTTAAAATGGTTGGGGCTCGTATTACTTCTCCCGCGATGCACCCCTAGCTGCCTCGTAGTGCGCTAGGCTGCTCTGAAACAGGGCAGGGGGCTGGAAACATGCGTAACTCCTGACAAAGAGTGGGATGACTTTGAATTTCTGAATTTTCTAGAAAAAATTCTTAAACGTAACCGATTTTTACATTAAATGGGTGGATGCAAGGCCCTTTCCCTTTTGACTATTAATCAGAGCTCGGATTCTGTTGACAGATCACTTTTCATTGCTGCATTCTAGACATTTGCCAACTTCTAAATGAATGTTAATCACGACATATGTGTGATAGAAACATATAGTTATTGGGTAATTGACATTTTTGCCGTTTTTAAATTTTTAGATATTTCTCTGGATCATTGCGTCATTTTTGTCATGGTTATGCATTTTGTCGGGTTTTTTGTAATTGAATGTTTAATGAGTATACAATGACATCCTAAAACAAATGTTTTTATTGTATCATCAGTTGATGACGAAATTCACTAGTGCAGTGAACACTTTTTCGAACTTTTAAAATTACACGGATCTTCCTCGACGTTTGTAAAGTGACACTTGGAAGATTGGTGATAAGAATTACATTTCCTCCTACATATAAAGACTTCATAAGAAATATAATTTTATATTCAATAAATTTTATTTAAAATTGTAAAATTCATTGCATAAATATATTCACACAAAATGTTTAGGATTTTTTAAAACATTGGGTTATCCCTATTATTTTTACGTTATTTTAAAGGACATGGTCCTCTTATTTTTAAGACATTTTATAAGTGTCAGTGTCAGTTGGACAACTCTGGTTTAGAAGTTATGGGGGTGGCCCGCAATTAGTGGGACACCTGTGCTGTATTTATGACAGTAATTTCCAGTCCATATAAGTATAAGAAGGGATTTTTTAAACTCTGTCAACTAACCTTTGGAAATATGGAACTCCTTTAAACAAATAATGTTTATAGGCAGAAAGTTGTTTGTGCCAACTAAGATAGTTAAATAAAATAGTTATCCAGCGTATTACACGGCTAATATCAGAAAACGAAAAAGAAAGGTCAGAAAAGCGAACGCTATCGCAAGAAAGGGCTTTTCAGCGCGACTCTCTTCAAAGATCTACGTAGCAAATTAATGCAGCAAAAACGTATAGCGCAAGAACATTATCTCCGTAAACTTCTATCAAACGAGCGAACAAGTTGAAGAAATGTTTATAGATACATAAAACAAAAAGGGGGTAACAAAGAATCTATTCCACCTCTTAAAGACGAAAACGGCAAATTTGTACTAACAGATAAAGAAAAAGTCGACCATTTTATTGCATATTTTCAATCGGTATTTGGGTTAGGATCGGATACTCCCAGTACTTTCGGAAAAAATGAGGGAGAAAAATTTCAAGTACAACCACGACTCATTAGACAAAGAATTCGCAATATAGGAAGTAATAAATCCGTAGGGTTTGACGGTATCGCTGGAGAACTATTACAAATTGGAGGGGGACCGTTGATTACATACTTGACGCGGTTATTTGAAATAAGCATGAATAATTGTAGCGTGCCTCACGATTGGAAAAGGGCTATAGTGGTTCAAATATTGAAAACTGGAAGTCGTTCTTGCATTTCCAATAACAGACTAGTAAGCCTAACGTCAGTGAGTTGCAAACAAAAGGAACATCTGGTAGCTGAGTTCTTGCGTCGGGAATGGAACAAATTAGGGTGGTTATACGAAGGGCAACATGTATTTCGAAAATGCTTCTCGTGTGAAAGCCAAATTATTACAACGTGTCAAGATATTGCTGAAACTTTAGATTCGGGTAAGAGAACAGACGCAACACCGATGCGAGACGTGGACACACTTTAAAACAATCTTAATAATATTCATTCCTGGGTTACCATTAATAAAATGAAGATAAATGCCGTAAAAAGTAAATCACTAAGCTTTTCGAAATCAGCAAAGAAGATTTCTTTAGAATATCAAATGGGAGGCGTATTCATTCCACTAGTATCGTGTTGTAAGTATCTCGGTGTCATATTACGCCAAGACTTGGGATGGGGGGAACACGTTACTTCTATTGCCCGAAAAGTGTGGAAGTCACTACACTTTGTAATGAGAACACTTAAAAAGGGGGAACACGGAGAGTCGAAAAATAGGAAACACACCTTTAGTTAAGCCGATACTTGAATACGCATCAGCTGGATGGGACCCACATAGATTAGGTCAGATTTAAGAGTTAGAAAAAATTCAAAAGAAAGCAATTCATAAATAAGGGATCTTCGAGTTGTTCAAATCCACCAAAACCTGTAGATGCCCACAGTGTGTGAAGAAAAAAATCAGATTTTGCTGCCTCTTCAAGGCGTACAGTAAATCACCTGCATGGGCAGAAGTAACAAAAAGACGAGACTCCCCTTCAAGAGTTGGGAGAAACGATCACAAATGCAAATAAAAAAATAGATGTCAGAGATCCGACGTAGGGAAATATTCATTTGTAAATAGTACGGTTAAAAATAGGAATGAAATCCCTGCAGCGGTCGTATAGCCTTTTCCTAGTTCTATTGGTATTTTTAGAAGACGACTTAATAAGTACTTGTAGAGGATGTATTTTACCGCACAGCTCAGAATCCATAAT